AAATTGTGTACAACAATGCTGAAAAAAAGCCAAAAATTCCAGTACTGGACAGATCACAATGAAACTGCTTACAAGCTGAATTAGTCATAATGTACATTACTATACGCTGTTCAAGTGAGTTATCTGTAGAGCATGAGTATCAGCCAGTACAAACAAATACTATTGTCCAAGGAGGGAAATCCACATCATTCATGGTATTCGGTAATCATACCCTGTCTGTCCTACTACTTAGGCAGTGCAGAGGAATTTTCTTCTCTTTGCAAACATTATATAGAAAGTGAAAAAGAAAATAAATGAAAAATACAGGCCAAATTTGTGCTGATCTATAATAGGGTTGTTCAAGTGGTAGAATAACTCAAAAAGCATTTTAGAATCATTCTCAAGAGAACCATGCTTACATGAGTCAAAATTCTTATTGTCCCTAAAGAAGAAGGGAGGAGGTTGGACTAGATGATCTCCAGAGGTCCCTTCCAACCTAAACGATTCTGTGATTCTGTGAAAGGTAAAAAAACAAAAAAAAACAACCCCAAACCACCACCACCACCACAAACCAGTGGTGAATAGACAAGTTTAAGGTTTACTAATTCAGACAGAAATAGTCCACATATTTTCAGAGAGCAAATTTCCTTGATATTAGATAACACAGGGCATGAAAGTGAAGCCACAGTTGCTAAGAGTCCGATTTCATTAGGGTGGCCAACTCCCAACGAATGCATATTACCTTTACAGATTTGTGACCATGGTATTGAAACAAAATCTTCAGTTAGAAGGGAATTAGCCTCTATCTTGTCTATTATTTTTCCCAAACCATCTTCAGTTTTAATATAAATGCATCTGATACTTTTTCTAGCATTTGGAAGAGCATTAAAGACAAGTCACAACAATTTGGAGTCTGCAACTTCAGACAATGTTCAGAGTTATATTAATCTCTGTGTCATCTCCTGTCAAAACCAAAACACAATAGGACAGTGTCATAGTATAGAAAAGGCAATATTCATTGTCGTCCTTGCAATTTCAACATCTGTTATTACAAATATTATGTTTGAACACTTTGGCAGTGTATTCATCTCAATTTCAGCTGCAATTAAAAATTTACTGAGAATTCCACAAGCTGAATCAGGCTTTGCCAGCAACTCAGGTTTAAGTCAAATCATCAATGAAGCCTGCACTTGACTTGCATTTTCATGAAAGAAAGAAAAAGAAACTATACATTGCAGAGTGCAAAGTATTTAGAAACTGCTTTTTCATGTTAACAGATAAGGCTAAAAATTGCTGAGTGCTCACTGACACCTTTATCCAATATGGATTTTGATGGGAATGCTGCTTGAACAAGGATTTCAGGCTCGAGTCCTTTATTTCATTTATGCCTGGTAGTATTAATTTCTGTTACCTAACTCATCACATTTTTGGTAGAGAGCAATACAACTTCAAGACCCAACTTCAAAAGATACATGCACTGTTGAGTAAATTCTTCCACAAATAAGGAAGTCTTAGTGTTACTTCTAATTCTATCACTAACTACATAAACATATAAGAATTGCACTTGTTGATACTACAGAACTACTTTTTTCTATGTACCAATAAAATGTGTTTGTTTCTTTTTTATGACTTAGTATGTCATGCAACAGCAAAACACAACATCCTTTTTTGTAAAGGAAAGAGGGGCACTATTTTACTTATGCATCAACACAGAATTGTTCTTAATAAGATGGATCGCACCCTTTAATTTTGTTCACTACAGCCAGACAAGCAATAAGGAAAAGTATTTCCAGCCATGAAGATCTGGCAAACCAGAAATGACATTTTGTTTTCTGTGTTCTCGGCACATTATTATTTACTTTTTCAACCATTAATGTAAGTTAAATTATGTTGATATTATTAGAAAATGGATTTAAGATCTGTACAAGAAATTCATGTACATAGTTAAATAAACCTCTGACAGGCAGAAGGGGAAACAATAGTTACGTGTACTTGCTATTCAAGATGCAGAAAACTAAAAGAAAATGTTTCTTTTTCTGAAAGAATAACATGGTCTGATATTAACAAGCTCTGAAAGTGAATCCATGGTTTTCCTATTAGGATTATTCTCATTAGCGAGAAACAAATGTTTCTTTCTGAAAAATATTTCCTTCGTTCTCTTTTATAATGTACTTGCTCATGATTGCTAGAGATAGCGTAAAATGGGTTCATATGTTCCTGTCCTGCTGACACCAGCTACTAAAGGGAGCCGGTCACTATGTTTCCAGCAATCAGTTTATATATATATATATATATATCTGTGCTATAACTACTGCATTTAAGGGCATATAGTAAATGGTAATGGATAGGGAAGCAGAAAGCGCTAAATTAAGGGACTATTTCCAGTAATGTAAAGGTGAAATATGTTTTCTTATGGGATATTTCTTGACAGTGCTGTGTCAGAATGAATGCTTCTCTGCCCTTCCTTTGATTCAGTTCCTGATACAAAGCCTGTTATAAGACCTGTCTGCAGCTTTTCCTGGTGATCTTCTAACCATGCGCAATTACTGTTTGGGCAACGGCAAGAGGTAACAGCAATCAGGTTTTGCTACAATACTCACAACATGAAGAGGAGTAGGAACAACAGCACTGCCAGTAACATCAGGGCTGATGCTGTCATTAGAGAAGGGAAAAACTTTCCCCCCTCAAAAGGGACAACTTGCAACTTATCTGGGCCTGCGTGTTCAGGAAGCCTTGCCTGCTGCCTGCGTATTGCACACTTCATGCTGGACCCGTCCCAGTTACACTAACCTTATGTTTCTGATAAGCTGTTGTTCCTTACTTTCTGGCCTCTATGCTGTTGTGAAGACATTTGCTACAGCACTGGGAGATGAGACATGCTCCTGCAACTGAATGTGCGTTGCACAGGTCAGATTCACTAATGACGACACTGCCACAAGATTCCTTTGGGATAAAGCCAAAGGCCTAACTATGCTGTTTCTCTATCTATGTATATCCTTCCACATTTAAACTTGCCTGCTGTGACATTTGCTGCAAAGCAACGCTTACATTCTGCAGCCCATCTACTAGTTCACTTCAGATGCTGTCAAATTCATTCAGCCACCAGGGAGAGTCAGACTGTTTGGGAAAAAAAAAAAAAAAACTCTCTCTTTCTATGAGAGGGAGTAACTAAGTCTGGACTCCTCCCCCAGAGACCACAGCGCCTCTTCTCGGAGACCACTCCGTACTTAAGGCCTTTAATGATTTTCAGATGCCTGATGACTCACTAGCCCTCCAAGAAAAATACCTAACCTATTGACTTGCAAAATTCACAAACTAATTCTTATTCACAGGAAATAATATAGTTAGTTATAGTGCAACTGAGAAAAAATATCCTATTTGAAATGAAAATGTTCAGGAACCATTGCTTTTGTAAAGTATTACGAATGAGTTTCAACACTGTTTAACACCTTCAGGACAATTCCACGGATCAAACTCCTAATGCATAATCTGTTAGGGCTTGCATGAAATAGGTAATTACTATGGAAATCCTAGTAGTGATCTGTTAAAGGAATGCAATTTTTGTCATTTCAACCAAAAGTAAGTTTGTTTCTCAGTTTACTCTGATGAATTGCAGAAAACTCACTTCCCCAAATGTTCTGTTTTCTCACTTCAAAGGATCCTAAGACAGAGTATTCTGAAAGCATTTTCAATCTGCACATACCGATCACATAGTAAGATCACTCTGCAACTGTTGTATCTTTTAAACATATTTTGAAATCTGTACTTAATGATGAAGGACAGAGAACTGTGCCTGTTCTTTTAATCGTGTTTCTAGGGCAAGTGTTCTTTTATAAAATAATAATAACATACAATGCAGACCATCATAAACAACTCTTGCTTGACGACTTCTAACACTTTTATTTTTGCTGAGGAATGTCCCAATTCCAATCACCTAATTAATCCTATTGATTTAAGTGGAACTACTTATGTAAGTTTTAAAACAAAATAAACAGCAGAAGAACTAAGACATATGTGACCAAAACTTTAGGTTTATATTTATCACATCATTTTAGTGTCTATCAGCATGGGAGCTCAGTAAGTTCGAAGTCCCAGGCTTTTATAGTACCTGTACAGTCTGAGGAGAAAAGCAGGAATTAATCATGGCAAAAAGTATTATGGAGGTTTGGTTTTGTACACAGTTTCCATTTGGAATCAGAGAATCCATCAATCCACTATCCACTACAAAAACAATAGTTGTGATTTTCTAGAAAAGTTGCGGCTATTGCAGAATATAAGTTTTATATAGCATGCGTACGTGAAACAGGCCAGGGAACCAGTTTTGGCTAATCAGTATCCCATATGATATGGTAGCAATAGAACTGTCAAAAATTACTCAGAACTTAACTATATAGAAGTTCACACCCACCTTTATTTACCTAGCTCTAATCTTTGCTCCTGAATACGTGCTTACCAAGTGAAAAGGGGAAGAAAAGGCATTGCATGTGTTGAAGTGAAATGTGAGGGGCATAGGTACAGGTCCACCTTTGAATCTGAGTTTCTCACATATGTCAACCAAGCAACTGTTGTCTCAGCTAGTGCTGCAGAGCATAGACATCACCATACCAAACAATCAAGCCAGGATTCCCTGGAAAGTCAATTTAAATAGGCCATCTAAATATTATTGTCGAGTTACAATTATTTTATTATCTAGTTTATAACTGTTTTCTCATCTTAAAAATAGTCTTCCCCTCCACACTGCCTCTTACTCTTATGCTACAAATATTACATAAGGATGTACACTTTGGGAATTCAGTACTGCAGACTAACTATAGATAGAGATTTGCAGACATGCCTTAGGTTATTTAAAGCAACTAGCTACCTGGAACCTATGTACATTTCCTTTTTGCTCAGACAGCATCCAATCTTAATTAAAAAACAAATGCTTGGCCTTTATATTTGCTTCTAAATTCTGAGACATAATGATATAGCTTGTAAAAACCTCAGTAATTGTTGACACAGAAAGTAAAGTGATTACTTACTATTCGAAGAAGAATTGTTCCAGATAATAATCAACCCAGATTCCAGGAAATCCAGCAATGAATCATGGAGGTGTTCCGTCAAAATACACATCCTTGCCAAACAGAAAGATGTAAAAGATATACAAAGTTTATCAGAGAGATGTGGATTTTCTCCACTATTGATATTATAGTTTCAGTATGTGTTTACTCAGTATCAGTTTGAAACATATGAATGAATATGCTGCTGAACTCCATGTAAGATATCTGAAATAGTTCACATTGCTCTTTTAACAAAGTTAAATGAAACCTGATCTGGATTCCACTTGATCATAAGACTGGAATGCTGAAAATGCTGTAAGCTATTTATACATCAAATTGAAGAAATTTTAGGTGTCTTTAAATTTCATGGCATTCCAGTGTATTAACTAAGCATCCATAGCTTACAAACTGTTCCATGCTCAAACTGAGAAAGAAAAGACAGACAAACCTGATTTATTTCCTGACTTTTAAACTAGGGACCAAAATCAAATCTGCTCCATGAACCACAATCAAAAACAGTCTTAAAAACTTGAGAAGGAAATTTGCTGCAGTTATCAGTTCACATAATAAAGAACAAAAGATAACATGAATACACAGTCTCACCTGGTTGCAAGAACAACTTCCCAGATTTTGAAAGTTATAGTTCTTGCAGTATTGGTTGCCTGAGGATATTCACCTCAAGATACTGAATGGATGTTGCACCATGACCCCCTTTCATAAAGCTGTGGTAAGAGAGAACAATTTTGTTTTACTTCTAGACTTTGAGCTTGTTGTATAAGACAAGAGATGTGCTGAAATAATTGGTGTCTTGGCCAATGTATCTATATATTTAATATAGTTATATATTTAATAGTTGCTTCTTAACAAAGAACCCGAAGGATAGAATTTTGTCTTCGATTTCAGAGAAAGCAAGAATACGCCGTTACAGGAATTACTAGATACTGCCTACCCTAAATGTGTTGTTCCTGCAGCACTGCTTCATTGTTAGTGCCATCACATGGTAGTTGCCTTATAATCACTTCAAAATAATAATTTTTTTCAGCATCAAGAATATATTGCAATTCCAAACTGGATTTACTGCTCATATTTGACTTTTATTTCTCTTCTGTATGTAGACTTTTCTGCCTCAAAACCACAGATGATGCAAAATGAAGCAGAGAGCGAGGTTGAGAACAACTATGCAAATGAGAACAGCAAAATCAAACAGATGAAAACCACACAGGGCCTTACACAGCCCAGAAGTAATTGAAAATAACCAGCCCTATTAACAGACAACTTCAGACTCCCCTAGTGAAACAGCACTCTTTAGGAAACTGCTCCATAGTGTGGTGTAATTTGCCTGAATTATTTACATAATGCCTTAGGTGTGCACAATGCTTTCTGACATAGTAGGTTGAAGAGAAAAAAAGTCCTGCCCCAGACTGCTCCTGACTGCACAGTCAGTTGCAGCCCAAGGGACTATGAAAAAAGTAAGCATGCACTATCATGAAAAAGAGCATATTATGCTGAAGACATGTCCATTTATCTGTACTCATGTTCAGGGTAGATTTTTACATATCTTATTTAAGTAAAACACAGCTCCCATTGGCATTTAACGAGTTCTGACTTAAGAGGGGTCAGGACCAGGCTAACATCTGACGAGACTTCATTTTCATCTGCATTTAAGTGTATGTTTCCATCTGTGTAACTGTTTCCATCTATTGTTTTCAGGTTTTGATCATATCCTTTTTTTCATAGTCAGGGAATTATTGTATTTAGTGCCTATTATTTTCTATATAGAAGAACACTGTAAAGACAAAAAAGAACAATTTTGTTAGGGTCAAGAAAAAGGAGTCTCATGCTTTTTGTCACATGAGACTTTAAGAAGAGCCTGAAGCTAAATACTGCAGATACTACTGGCTGGTTCTCTTGATAGTTAGTGGCCTTTATAAATGCAAAAATCCTACTTAGACATTCAGCTCACTCATTTGCCCTTTTCTATGCCCTTCTTCCCTCCAGCAGTCTGCAACCTGGAATTCATCTTCTAGGTCTTGCAGTCAATGTCTTGCATCTTGAAATTCGAAACAACTTGATATTCAGATTATCATTGCATCTCGTCCTGGCTTGAGATTGTTTGTGGTAATTCAGATGAGTTTTAAAAACAAGAAGAATTTGGATGAATGTCTTACTGTCGAGCATCGCTAGTTATGAAATTGGAAAATGTGTCGTTTACAGGGAGGAAGCAAGGAATTACTGATATTCCTGTTTTAAAATTTAAGCTGTTAACTCAGCATCTTGATAAAGGACTCACCTGAAAGGGACGGCAGTCTTAAAATACTAATGTGGTACACTTAAATTCACATATACGGCAGTTTGACCTTTAGTAATTCCTAATACTCTGATCAAATCTGAAAAAAACCTCTCACGTTAAATGAATTGCTTATCATGTTTCCATTACTGCGCCAGTATGCCAGTACTTGTAAGACAGTATCACTTAGCCTGACCAGGTCTCAGTGCTCAACACAATAAAAGACAGGCAGAGCCCTGAGGAAGACTTTTCTGTCTTTGCAGACCAGACAGGTTAATAGGTGGGAGAGAAAAAAGGAGGCATGAAGAGGGAAGAATAACTTGTACAAGGCCACACTGCAGGTAAAAACCAAGCTAGATGTAAAACTGAAGTTAAAAACTGGTCCTCTGAACTTTTCCTGATGA